AGCTTTGGTTTGAAGTCCTCTTTATCTTATAGGACAATGGAAAACCCTGCTTATTTATGCAGTCCATGTGAGTGGGACTTTGTTCCCACTTTTCACCTTCAGTCTATTGATGTCTTTTTTTGTGAGATGAGTCTCTTGAAGGCAGAATATTGTTGGGTCTTTTTTAAATCCATTCTGTCAGTCTATGTCTTTTAATTGATGAGTGTAGGCCATTCACATTCAGGGTTATTATACAAATACGATTTGTATTCCTGGACATTTTGGGGTATTTTTGGTTTCTAATTTGACTTAGTTTCTCCTTTGATTGGCCTTTCCTTTAGTGTAGTTACTCCCTTTGCTGATTTTCATAGTTGTTTTTCATTTCCTCCTCTTGGAATATTTTGCTGAGAATGTTCTGTAGTTCAGGCTTTCTTGCAGTAAATTCTTTTAACTTTTGTTTATCATAAAAGGTTTTTATTTTGTCATCAAATCTAAAGCTTAATTTTGTTGAATATAAAGATTCTTGTTTGGCATCCATTTTGCTTCAGAGCTTGGTATATGTTGATCCAGCATCTCCTGGCTTTGAGGGTCTGGGTTGAAAAATCTGCTGAGATCTGAATTGTTCTCCCCCTATATGTGATCTGATTCCTCTCTCTTGCATTGCAGCCTTTAAGATTCTATCCTTATTCTGTATGCTAGGCATTTTCATTATAATATGCCTTAGTGTAGATCTGTTATAATTTTGTACATTTGGTGTCCAGTAAGCCTCTTGTATTTGATTTTCAAATTCATTCTTCACATTTGGGAAATTTTCTGGTATTATTTCATTGATAAGATTGTGCATTTCTTTGGTTTGAATCTCTAGTGGCCTTCCTCTATCCCAATAAATCTTAGATTTGGTCTTTTGATGCTATCCCATATTTCTTGGATCTGTTCATGGTTTCTTACCATCTTTACATGTGCTCAACTTTATTTTCAAGATTCTATATTTTGTCTTCAATTATTATCTGATGTTGTCTTCCAAGTGATCTAACCTATTGGTAATGCTTTCTTTGAGTTTTTATTTGGTTTATTGTTTCCTTCATTTCTAGGATTTCTCATTTTTTTTCAGAATCTCTCTCTCTCTTTCTTGAAGTAATCTTTTGCTATCTGTATTTGCTCCTATATCGCTTTGTTAGAGTGATCAATTTTTGCCTGTATTTGCTCTGTCATGTCATTCTTTAATTTACAGATCATTTTAATTATGTACCTTCTAACATTTTATCAACTGTACTGTCAATGAATTCCATTATTGTAGTATCTTGGTTTGTTTGGAGCACTTTATTCTCTTGTGTTTTTCATATTGTCTATGTCTTCCTTTCTTGCAATGTAGATCTGAAGTATTACAGTTTCTATCCTGTAATCTTGTAGTGTACTTGCAAATTACCTGTACCTTCCCTTAGTGTTGGGCCAGTGTCCCAAGATGGATGCTACTGCAACTAAAGTTGTTGGTGGCTATAGTGGAGGTAACTCAAAATAGCAGTGGGGGGTGTCCCAAGAGGATGCAACCACTTTCAGAGATGGGACTGAAAGGGTGGACCTTACCATGGCTTTGGGCTTCCTGTTGGGAGATGCAGCTACCTCCAGGCCCTGTCTGTTGTCCCAAGGTAGAGGCTGCTATATGGACAGGGCTATAGTGATGACTGCAGTGTCCCAAGATGGAAGCGAGCTTCTGGATCAACATGTGGTAAATGGGGAGCCCCACTGTGGTCCTTTGCTCTGCATGAGGGTGGTCCTGGGCCTGGGCTCTCACACAGGTGAAGGGGGGTGGTCCTGGGCCTTACCTAGGCCTAGGCTCCTGCATGGGTTGGCAGGGGCCGTTGTTGGCCTGAGCCTGGGCTCTGGTGTGGGTCAGCAGTTCAGCAGTGGTGATTCTGAGCCAGGGCCTGGGCCTGGGTTCCTGCAAGGGTTGATGGGGGCCATCCTCGGCCTGGGCCTGGGCTCTGGTGTGGGTCTATCTTCTGGTCATTGGGGGTGGTCCTCTATGTGATTTTCTTTAGTGGTAGATTTTGATTCTTTACTTTTTATTTTTTCTGTGTATACTATGGGTTTTTTATTCATGGTTATCATGAGGCTTACCAAAAATTATATTTTTAACTGTATTTTGAGAGGTTTTTTAAATTACCTTAAAAAACCTCTACTAACAGGGGCAATGCCCAGACTCTCATTGTGAGGTACTTCTTCCTGCCTAAGGAGGGTGTAAGCCACCTGAAAACTTGAAGTCTCAAATAATTAGTGAAGAGCAAAACACAAATAGTCAAAAATATATTTACAAAAAGCAGAGCCCCTGATAGATCTAGTCCACATGCTGGAACTAGACAAATGAAAGATGGTTTATTTAAGGGGGTACATCAAATGCAGGGACAAGGTTTCAAGGGTGGAGTCTGGCTTCGTGATGTCTTGTAGTCAACAGGTTGATTGACATCTTGGCAGGTCACACCCATCTCAGGTGCTGTGTGGGTCATGACAGAGATGGATGGAAATTCACACTGTCCCTGGGCACTTGACCAGAGAAAATGTCCACTGGTCGTCATTGCCAGACACCAGCTGTTTCTATCCACAAAGTTTTGATGTGTGGTGACCCACACTCAACCCATGGATGGCTCGTGACACTCCATAATTTTATTCTATTCACCTCACATTTTGGAATTTTGAAGGGTGCTGATAATTGAACCCAGAGCTTTGGATATGCTAAATATGTGCTCTACCACTGAACTTCACTCCCAGCCCCCATTTTGAATTTTCACATCACAATTCATACTTTTTCATATTGCATATAACTTAATAAATTATTGTACTTGTTTTTTTAAATTTTTTAGTTATAGATGGACACAATATCTTTATTTATTATTTTTTATGTGGTGCTGAGTATCAAACCCAGTGCCTCACATATGCAAGGCAGGCGCTCTACCACTGAGCTATAGCCCCAGCCCTATTGTACTTGTTTTCTTTAATTTATCATTTAACCTTTATACTAGGTATACAAGTTATTTACACACTACCATTATAGTGTTTAAGTATTCTACATTTGACTATGTGTTTTTGTAAGTAAGTTTTATATTTTCAAATGTTTTCATGTTACTCACTGGCATCCCTTTGTTTCAGCTGGAAGAGCCTCCTCAAACATTTCTTGTAGAAAAGGTCTGATGGTAAGAAACTCATTTAGATTTTTGGTTGTCTGGACAAGTCTTTATCTCACCTTCATTTTTGAAGGACAGCTTTAATGGGTACGGTATTCTTGATATGAATTTGTTTTTCTTTAGTACTTTGAATATATCATCCTACTCTTTCCAAAAGCTTTCTGCTGAGAATTCTGCTGCTAAGTGTATCGGAACTTCCCTATAAAGCACTTGTTTTTTTTTTCTCTTGATGCTTTCAGAATTCTCTCTTTTTCCTTGATTATTGACAATTGGATTATAATATACATTGGGTATTCTTCTTTGGAATGAATCCAATTGGAGACATTTGACCTTCCTGAACTTTGGTATTTATATCTTTCTCCAAGCTTGGAAAATTTTCTGCCAGCATTTCTCTTTTACAGCTGTTAAAACTTTTATGAAAAACATGATCTAAATTCTACCAAAATATCTACAATCATTTTAATTCCATTCTAATACATTTCATAGCAAGATTTTTAACTCCAAAGTATTAGACAAAAAAAGATTCCAATGCATTCCCAAGTATTATATGTTGAAGACTATTACTTCATGATTGTGTACAAAGGCTCGTGGGGAGTTTAGCCATTTCAGATTAGAAAATTACAAAGATATTTTATCTACATAGACTTCAAAAGTTGTAATATAAGATCAATTCTTTCACTTGTTTGTGTGTTAATAGGAGTTTAGTCTCAACTATTATTAAATGAGCAGAGTTTATCACAGTTAATATGTGTTTATGACTGTCACAGATTATCATTTAAACTTGTTAAATGTATAGGTTTAGGGGTTTTTTGTGTGTGTGATGCTGGGAACCAAACCCAGGGCCTGATGCATAGTAGGCAACTTTTCTACCATTGAGCTACACTCCCAATCCTTTTAATGTTTTTTTTAATATATGACATCATATTTCCAACTGATAGAATTGATTAGTAGACAAATGAATTTAGTGAACATCAAAATACAAGGAAAAGTGCAATCAGTGAACAAAACTCTAATATAAATGTAAAGATTAATCTGTTTCATTCTCACATGAATTCATGAGTATATAATATGTATATAATGAATTTATTGGACAGATAATCTAATATCTTCTTCACTGCAGTTTTCATTAGGAAAAATTATTAAATGCTCACATAAAGCCATTTACTTCTAAGCCAATAAAAATTCTGATAAAACTCAGAATTGTTGCCAGGCACCATGGTGCATGCCTGTAATCCAAGCCACTTGGGAGACTAAGGCAGGAGAATCACAAGTTCAAAGCTAGCCTCAGTAACTTAGCAAAGCCCTGAGCAATTTAGTAACACCCTGTCTCAAAATAAAAAATAAAAATAGTCTGGAAATTTGGCTAAGTGGTTAAGTGCCCCTAGGTTCAGTACCCCCCACAACAAAAAAATACTCAGAATTATTTTCTAAACTATTATTTGCATAATCATTTCTAGTACAAAATTGGGAATATTTAATAATTTTTTCAGTATACGTTAAAACAAAAGACTTGGTCTCATCATTTTTATCAGGAAAAATTATATTTGGAAGAAGTCACACTACATAAAGTGACAGAATTCAAAAATCAAATTACATGAAAATATACATTGCAATTTCCTTGTACAGTAGGTGAGAAATACCTCTAGTATTGAAGAATAGAGACAAAGAAACATGAAGGACTATGGAGAAGGGTATGAGGGCAAATTGCATTATTAGTAGCAAACCAAGGGCTGGGGTTGTATAGATCAGTGGTATAATGCTAGCCTAGCATGTGTGAAGCACTGGGATTGATCCTCAGTGCCACATTTAAAAAAGTAAATAAAGAAAAGCAATCATTACTGGAGCCGAAGCTGCCTATTAAGCTCGATCAAGATGACAACCTCCCAAAAGCATCAAGACTTTGTGGCAGAGCCTATGGGGGAAAAGCCAGTGGGGAGCCTGGCTGGGATTGGTGAAGTCCTGGGCAAGAAGCTTGAGGAAAGGGGCTTTGACAAGGCATATGTCATCCTCGGTCAGTTTCTGGTGCTAAAGAAAGGTGAAGACCTCTTCCGAGAATGGCTGAAGGACACATGTGGTGCCAATGCCAAGCAGTCCTAGGACTGCTTTGGGTGCCTTCGAGAATGGCGTGACGCCTTCTTGTGATGTTCTCTGGGGAGCCCTCAATCCCTAGCCCCCTTATCAAGTCTCCAGAGTTTGCAGCTGAGTAGGGGCTCCTTGTCCTCTACAAAGGAAAAGATTGCTGTTGTTGTACTCCAGGGTCTTTGGGAATTCTCTCCCCTCACCATTTCAATCTTTTTTGGAATTTTTGCTCTTGCGTGCAACTCCCTTTCTCTTCCCCCTGCCAGTTCCATGGAAATCATTAACCAGCTTTTCTGATTGGATTCCTGGCCCCTTCCCTCACCCCCACCTTTACCTTTGGTCTGTTTGATGCCATTTGGCACCTTTTTTGGCATAACAGTCACTGTCCTTGTAAAGTTTTTTAGATCAGTAAAGACAGTGGCCTTCAAAAAAAATTAAAATAAAATAAAAAGTAAAAAGTAAATAAACAAAATAAAGGTGTTGTGTCTGCTTCAACTAAAAAATAACAAACCAAGAAGTAGAAAGCTTCTAGTTGTGCATGCTTTATTTATAGAAATTTTACACTAGTCAACTGAAGGGCAAAAATAAAACCAAATCAGAATTTTGTATTATGTGAGTAAATTTCAGTAAGTTGAATTTAGAACCAAATTTTTTTTAAGTTCTTGGGGGTAATGAATAGGTTCAAGAACTCTTAATAGCCAGAAAATGTTATTGCTACATCCAATCCAAAGAGATGGGCACAACTAGAATACAAAAAGGACAAAGCACCTAGTAATGAAGTCATCATCAAAAAACAAGTAATTAGGGCTGGGGCTATAGCCCAGTGGTAGAGCGCTTGCCTAGCATGTGTGAGGCACTGGGTTCGATCCTTAGCACCACATAAAAATTTTTAAAAATACAACCATTCTGTCCATCTACAACTACAAAAAAAAATTTAAATCAAGTAAAATTCTTGTTAAGTATTTCAGTATTTGAACTAAATCATCTGAGAAATTTCTGGCAGATAGAAGAGATAAAAGCAAAAGGGAGTGTCAAAATGAAGAAGGTACAAAAGTTTAGTAAGTGAAAAGGGTTTAATGAAGCCTCAGTGGTTTAAAGGAAATTAAATGGAAACTTTTAATCCTAATTGCTTTTCATTTGACAAACTGTAAAGAGTCTTTTAAATTGATAAGAAAAAAATGAATAGGGAAACAAAAGCTGCTAAAATCTTTTAGAGTTCACACGATTTTTATTCTACTACAAGAAAGCATTATTTGGTACAAGGTATATTTATTAATGTATATTAACAGTATATATACCAAACAGATCATGTTGTGCTGTGTACAGGTCTTTACAATTCTTCCTGAAGGTTAAAACAGTTCATTATAATTCAAAATACATAATCATCTGTAAGTTGGCATTTGTTAGGCTCTTGTCAGCATTGATAACTGGCATGTTTTTCCTGCAGCCCAATTACAACCAGTGTTTTGCCAACTTGTTACAACAGAATTCCAGCAGTAGGTAGATAGCCTGCAGGAAAAACATTACCATGTTTCTCAGTTGAAGACCCTGCAATAAGTGAAGTTGCTAGCTGCTGAATAAATGTCACTCAAAAGCAGTGTTTGAGCTTTATATATATATATATATATATATATATATATATACAGTAGGCAACATTTCTTTTAAATTCTCCCTGTCTTCCTTCCATTCTTTCACAGCATTGACATTAGCAGGTGAATGTCCACTAGAGTCTGCCAGCACAGAAATAATACTAATCAGTCATGGTTTCCCCAGTATAGGTAGGAAACCAGTGTTCCTCTGGCTTTTCTTTTTTTTTAATATTTATTTTTCGATTGTAGTTGGACACAACACCTTTATTTTATTTATTTATTTTTATGTGGTGCTGAGGATCGAACCCAGGGCATCGCACATGCTAGGCGAGCAATCTACCACTGAGCCACAATCCCAGCCCCTCCTCTGGCTTTTCAAAACCATATTTATCCTCTCCAGGTTTGTGAAAAATAGAAATGCAAACATTACCATTTTGTCAACATTTGGGTGCCAGATTTCTGTAATGAATTTCCTTTTAGGAGGCCTGAAGGGATGATCTTTGGGGAAATGAGATGAGCCTTAAAAACACCACCTTCATAGAGCTGGGGTTGTAGCTCAGTGGTAGACCACTTGCCTCACATGTGTGAAGCCCTAGGTTCTATCCTCAGTACCACATAAAAATAAATAAATAAGAATAAAGATATTGTGTCCATCTACAACTAAAAAAAATTAAACACCACCTTCATAAAGTGTGTCTGGAAGTCCTGCAGTCTGGGCTGGCAGTATGCTGATCTTTCAAAATTTCTTTCCCAGCCCAATCCCCACTTTTAGGTGAGGTTTCTGTGAAGTCTGTTAGGTGTACATCTTCAGCTTATTGGCTTAAAATATATTCTCCTTTGTTGTGGTATCTTTGGGGCCAGTTGGGAGAAAGAGAAACAATAGTGCAACTGTTTTGTTACTGAATATTGACAAGTATCTTTTTGAAATAAAGAACCAGTCCCTCCAACCTTCAAAAAAAAAAGAAATACAAAGGATAATTAGAAATTATTTTGAAAACTTAGACTCCAATAAAATAGAAGACATTGGAGGCATCGACAAATTTCTTAAGTCATACGATTTGCCCATATTGAATCAGGAAGATATACACAATTTGAACAGACCAATATCAAGTGATGAAATAGAAGACACCATCAGAAGCTTACCAACCAAGAAAAGCCCAGGACTGGATGCATACACAGCTGAGTTCTATAAGACCTTTAAAGAAGAACTAATACCAATACTCCTCAAATTATTTCATGAAATAGAAAAAGAGGGAACACTTCCAAATTCATTCTATGAGGCCAATATCACTCTGATCCCCAAACCAGGCAAAGACTCATCAAAGAATGAGAACTTTAGATCAATATCTCTAATGAACATAGATGCAAAAATTCTCAATAAAATTCTGGCAAATCAAACACAAAAACATATCAAAAAGATCATGCACCAAGATCAAATGGGATTCATCCCAGGGATGCAAAATTGGTTCAACATACAGAAATCAATAAATGTAATTCATCACATCAATATACTCAAAGATAAGAACCATATGATCATCTCAATAGTTGCAGAAAGAGCATTTGACAAAATACAGCACCTTTACATATTCAAAACACTAGAAAAACTAGGGATAACAGGAACATATCTCAACATCATAGGCTGTCTACACTAAGCCTCAGGCCAACATCATTCTAAATGGAGAAAAATTAAAGGCATTTCCTCTAAAAGCTGGAACAATACGGGCATGCCCTCTTTCACCACTTATTCAACATAGTTCTTGAAACACTGGCCAGAGCAATTAGACAGACAAAAGAAATTAAAGCTATATGTATAGGAAAAGAAGAACTTAAAATTAGTACTATCTGCTGACCCAAAAAGCTCCACAAGAAAACTTCTAGAATTAGTAAATGAATTCAGCTAAGTAGCAGGATATAAAATCAACACTCATAAATCAAAGGCATTTCTGTATATCAGTGACAAATCCTTTTAGAAGAAAATGAGGAAAACTACCCCATTTACAATAACCTCAAAAAATAAAATAAAATACTTGGGAATCAACGAAAGAGGTGAAAGATCTGTACAATGAAAATGACAGAACCCTAGAAATCAAAGAAGATTTTAGAAGATGGAAAGATCTACCTTGCTCTTGGATAGGCAGAATTAATATTATCACAAAATGATCAAACTACCAAAAGCACTATGCAAATTTAATGTAATTCCAATCAAAATCCCAATGACATTCCTCATAGAAATAGAAAAAGCAGGCATGAAATTCATCTGGAAAAATAAGAGACCCAGAATAGCTAAAGCAATCCTTAGCAGGAAGAGTGAAGCAGGTGGCATAACTATACCAGATCTTAAACTATACTACAGAGCAATAGTAACAAAAACAGCATGGTATTGGCACCAAAAGAGACCGGTAAACCAATGGTACAGAATGGAGGATCAAGAGACTAACCCACAAAATTACAATTATCTTATATTAGACAAAGGTGCCAAAAACATGCACTGGAGAAAAGACAGCCTCTTCAACAAATGGTTCGGGGAAAAATGGAAATCCAGATGCAACAAAATGAAATTAAATCCCTATCTCTCACTATGCACAAAACTCAACTCAAAGTGGATCAAGAACCAAGGAATTAAACCAGAGACTCATCTAATAGAAGAAAAAGTAGGCCCTAATCTTCATCATGTGGGATTAGGCCCCAATTTCCTTAATAAGACTCCTATAGCACAACAATTAAAACCAAGAATCAATAAATGGGATGGATTCAAACTAAAAAGTTTTTTCTCAGCAAAAGAATCTGTGATGTGAACAGGGAGCCTACATCCTGGGAGCAAATTTTTATCCCTCACACATCAGATAGAGCACTAATCTCTAGGGTATATAAAGAACTCAAAAAGCTAAGCACCAAAAAAACAAATATCCCATTCAATAAATGGGCCAAGGACCTGAACAGACACTTATCAGAAGAGGGTATACAATCAATATGAAAAAAATGGTCATGATCTCTAGCAATTATAGATATGCAAATCAAAACTACTCTAAGATATCATCTCATTCCAATCAGAATGGCAGCTGTTATGAAGACAAACAACAAGTGTTGGAGATGATGTGGGGAAAAAGGTACACTCATATATTCCTGGTGGGACTTCAAGTTGGTGCAGCCATTATGGAAAGAAGTATGGAGATTTCTTGGAAATCTGGGAATGGAACCACCATTTGACCCAGCTATCCCTCTCCTCAGTCTATACCCAAAGGACTTAAAATCAGCATACTACAAGGACACAGTCACATCAGTGTTTTTAGCAACACAATTCACAATAGCTAAACTGTGGAGCCAACCTAGATGCCCTTCAGCAGAAGAATGGATAAAAAAAATATGGCATATATACACAATGGAATTTTACTCAGCAATAAAAGAGAATAAAATCATGGCATTTGCAGCTAAATGGATGGCATT